GGATTTTTAACTATGGAAAATTGTGGTTTGGTAGGGATTTTTGGAAAAGTTCTTTCAGGGCCTATGGAAAGCAAATGAGGAGAAGTTGAACAGGGAAGCAAACAACTAATGAGAGCTTGGCTGTAATGCCAAGGTCTAGATGGCAATAATGGGGGCATGGTGACTGAAGTACTACGATCAAGATAGATCTGAGAGAAAAAAAAAAATCTGAGAAAAATTAGCCACAAGACAGTGGGTGCTCTAGATGACCCTGGGTGTCTGGTTTGATAAATGAGGCATGACCCAGGTGCCTGCCCAGGCCTAGCTAGGCTGGGTATAAGGTAGGTAGACTGAAGGCAGAAAGAAGGCTATGTGTGGCTGGAGGTGAGGGGAGCAGAAATGTCACCTCTGAGACCTTTTTTGCTGGACTGCAGAAATAATGAGGTTATAAGAAGGACAGGTGCTTAAAACACTGTCCCTTTTGGTTTCCAGGGTGATCAACAGGATGAGGAGGAAGAGACTCAGATGAAGAAGTCAGAATCAGAGGTAGAGGTGAGAGCTGGGGTACATGACAGGTGAGACATGAGGGCTGTCTCGCTAGCCCAGCCCAGCCCTAACCCTGGCCTTGTGCTCTCAGGAGGCAGCTGCCATTATTGCCCAGCGGCCTGACAACCCACGGGAATTCTTTAAACAGCAGGAAAGAGTTGCATCGGCCTCTGCAGGCAGCTGTGATGTGCCCTCACCCTTCAACCACCGATCAGGTAGTCCTCAGCTCCATCCCTACCCAACCCCCATTCCTCAGGTTATGGCCCTGATCCCCTTTGGGACTCTTTCTTGGAAGAGAAGCCTTGCCCAAGGACTCCTTGGAGAAGGCAAGACCCCTCACCCAGCATGCTTTTATCTGGGGCTTCCATGTGGCAGGAACCCAGAGGACTGGGTGGCAGTGTGGATACTGGGCCTTGGCTGAGGATTGGGTAGTGCCGAAGGCCAGTTGGGCAGCTCTGATGCTGACACAGGCATACCCCTGGCCACCACCAACGGGCTGCTGCCTGTTGGTTGGAGTAGGCTTGTCTTCTAGGGCCATGGTGCATGTTGGGTAGGCTCTTGCCCTGGCCTGGAGTTTGAACATCCTGGACCCTGCACCCAGGTTTCTCTGTTTGGCTTCTTGTGCAGCTTTTACCCCTCCCCAAACTCCCTTCTATCCTTGTCTGCTGGTCTGAGTGTTTGCACCTGTTGTGTGCTTGGTCCTGTCTGGGGCTCTAGGGGCAGAGCAAGTTGTCCTCAGTCATGCTGCTGCTCAGAGAGGCTGGCTGTATGTGGCAGGCTCATGGCTGTGTATTATGTCTGGTGCTGGTGGGAGGCATCTGATGGCTTGAGGCTGTGGCCCAGCTTGGCTGAATTTGCACCCTGGCTGAAAGCAGCTTGAACATCCAGGGCCAGCCTTGGGGGGTGGGTGAGGCCTTAGGGTGGGGGGTGGGGGAGACTGACCCTCTCTTGTCCTCTGTCTCTTTCTCTGTCTGTCTCTCTTGGCAGGTCGTCCGTACTGCCCTTTCATAAAGGCATCGGACAGTGGGCCTTCCTCCTCCTCCTCTTCCTCCTCTTCCCCTCCACGGACTCCCTTTCCCTATATCACCTGTCACCGCACCCCAAACCTCTCTTCCTCCCTCCCATGTAGGTAGCAGCCCCAGGCCTCTGCGGGGGGGTAAGGAGGGTCCCGCTTCCCAGCAGCCCCCTCACCCTCACTCCCCAGCCTGACTGCTGATCTCTGGTGTTTGTCCCCAGAGCAGGTACTGCCTGCCTCTTGCCCCGGGCCCTGCAGGGCCCTGGCCCCCAGGGGCCTGGTTTACAGGGTCTGGAGCTGTGGTCTGGCCCCCAAGGGGCCTGGGGAGCTCACAGCACCCATCCAGACTCCAGAGACGAGATGCTGGCCAGGCCCCAAGGTGGACGATCCTGGTCCCTCCTGGCTTTCTCACCCTCACTGACCAACTTGGGGCTTATTCCACAGGCAGTCACCTGGACAGCCACCGGAGGATGGCACCTACTCCCATTCCTGCCAGGAGCCCATCTGACTCCAGCACAGCCTCCACCCCTATCACTGAGCAAATCGATCGGGCCCTGGATGAGGTCACATCCTCGCAGCCTCCCCCACTGCCACCCCCACCCCCACCAGGCCCAGGTGAGAGAGGAGCCATCCATTCACTGGGCTCACATCAGGAACTCCAGCTTGCCATAACATCTCCCCAGGGATCTAGATCACCTGTCACCAAGGCTGTAGTGTCTTGGAAGTGGCTGTGGCAGGGAGGAGCCCTGGTGTTGCAGTCAGACCTGCCCTCTTAGGAACCTCAGAATCTCATGTCTGAGGTGGCATTCAGGCCTTCCTCCCTGCTGGTGTGCAGTTGGTGCTGAACTGCACATGGTGTCCCATGTAGAAGTATTAATGAAGATGTATTTTCCCAGCTGTCCCTGACTCCCTTACTCCTTAGGGGATGGACAGGGTATTGTAGAAAGGGTCTCCTTCCATCTCCAAGGGGGTTGATTACATCTGTCTCTTCCATTTGTGCTGTGGCAGAGACCAAGGAGCCCAGCCCCAGCCTGGACACTGAAGAAACCTGCAAGGAAGCCAGAGCAGCAGGCCTTCAGGCCTGGGCTGACCCCATGGTGGAGGCTCCTCAGACACAGGAGCTTCCCCAGGGGCAGGGCAGTGCCATGGAGGACTTGATGTTCATGGAGTCTCCAGCAAAGGCTGCCCCTGTAGAGTCTGCCACAGCTGATATCACTGCAGCCCACCTTGACAACCTCTCAGAAGTGGACACCCATACAGCTGACACCATTGAAACCGCCACTGACACCACTGTTGCCAACAATATCACCCCTGCCACTGCCAGCCTTGTTGACCTATGGCCAGGCAATGGGGAAGGGGTCTCAGCACCTCAGGCAGAACCCAGGGCCCCCACACCACCCGTGGGTGCTGAGGCCACCCTGGCAGAGGTGCCCCTGCTTGATAAGGTGGTTCAAGAGCCACTGTTGCCAGTGGGTGAAGGCTGTGCCAACCTGCTCAATTTTGATGAGCTTCCTGAGCCCCCAGCTACTTTTTGTGACCCAGAGGAGGAAGTAGGAGAGCCCCTGGTTGCCTCCCAGGATCCAACTCTGTCCTCTGCTCTAGAGGAGGTGGATCAGGAGCCAGAGCCAGAGCAGGAGCTGGAGCAGGAACCCCACCTACTGACCAATGGCGAGACCACCCAGAAGGAGGGGACCCAGGTGGGGCAAGGACAGGTTGATGTGAGGGGTAGCAGTTTGGGCTCCAGCAGGGGGCAGACTCTGCAGTGGCAGCCCCTTTTCACTGTGACCTTATTGGGGGGAAGCTCCATTCCACTATCCCTCTCTTGTATATCTGCTTTTGTTCCCAAGGTAGGCTTCTTTGTTTCCCTGGCAACCACTGATGGAATCATTGGTTGCTGAGGAAACAGCTCCAACCTGATAGGTCAGTCCTAGCCCTAGTGGGTAGGGCCTAGTGACCGGTGGCTTTTCCCTGCAGGCCAGCGAAGGGTACTTCAGTCAATCACAGGAGGAGGAGTTTGCCCAATCGGAAGAGCCATGCGCAAAGGCACCACCTCCTGTGTTCTACAACAAGCCTCCAGGTAGTATCAGGATGGAGGATGGGAAGGAATTGGGGTGAGGATTCAGGGTATGAGTGTGGTTCAGCCGCATCCCCAGCATGCAGGTGACACAATTTCCAGAGGCTTGGCCACCTCCTTAACTTCTCTTCACTCTCAATATAGAAATCGATATCACCTGCTGGGATGCAGACCCAGTGCCAGAAGAAGAGGAAGGCTTTGAGGGTGGCGATTAGTGGTGGCTCCTACCCTCCGGCTGCCCTTGCCAAGGCTGCCCTCGCCAAGGCTGCCCACCTGCGCTCTGGTCAGACAGCCCACAGCGCCTGCATTTGCAGCAGCTCCGCCTGGCACCTACTCTGGATTCCGGCTCTGGCCGGGGACTTTTCTGCTTCCTTACCCACAGGGCCTGACTTTTACAGCTTTTCTTTTCTTTTTCTTATCTTTTTTTTTTTTTTTTTTTTTTTTTTTTAAAGTTGATAGGAGACTTGTACAGTTGACTGGTTTTCCTCTTGTTGGTAGTTGAGACGCTGTTGCAAATCCCATCCCACCCCACCCCCAACTTGGTCCAGATTGTAGCTTAGTCCTCCCCGCTCAGCTGGCCAGGGTGGAGGCCTTACCCCGCTTTGGGCCTGGAGTGGGGGAAGTTCTGGTGGGGAAAAAGTGCCCCCACCTCTTTTCCTAGTTTTATGTTTCTCGGAAAAATATCACTTTGTATTCTCTGTCCAGGGCTTGATATTTTGCACGAATTTTAAAACATGGCAATAAATGGCTCGTGGGCTCTGGTTCCCTGGGACCCCTCCCCACCCTTCTCTTGACCCTTCCCTTCCTGGCCAGAAGGAAGCAGCAGGCCCAGCTGGGGCCCTTCGGCTTCCCCACCCTCTCCTGCCGGGCAGGTCCCAGGCTGGAGGCCCTAGGCGTAATTCAAGTCAGGGCTATGGATGGAGCCCAGGGGGTTTGGGTGGTCACTTCCAAATTATTTCCTCTTTGCTTGGGTTCCTTTTTCACGTTCAGTAACTGTTTTTTTTTTTGGAAAGCACAAACTTCTGTAACGGGTCGTGCTTATGTCTGTTAATAAAGAAATCCAGATCCCTTTGGGCCTACTGCTCTGGGCCTCCAGGGGCTGATCTGGAGGGCTGCCTGCCTGCCCTGACCCAGTTCCCAACTCCCACCAAGGCAGAAGCATCTCTGTGCTATCATAGGGTGCCCTGTGATCTCAAGGGCAAGCTAGGTGGGGACGGAGGCCCTCTGAAGAACTAGCCTTTTAATTTCCAAACGCTGACCTAAGGTTCAGTTCTATAAGCCCCAGGCTGGCTGGTGGTGGAAACTCCTATTTGCATTTGCTCCTTGTTAAGGCTGCAGCATGCATGGTCACCAGAACTTCAAGTGCATGCAGCGGTGTCCCCTCGGTTTGTACCAAAGCAGATCACACACCTTTATTATCCTCAAAATATAACAAACGGGGTAAGAAATCCCTCCCTCCCCCCACCCCACCCCAGTCCAAGGGAAGCGTTTAAAAAGCCCCACAGTCAGGCCAGGAGTTCCCGGTGGGGCCCAGGACGCCCCGGGCGCCCCTCTATACGGCTGTAGTCCTCCCGAACAAGGGGATGGAGACCGGCAGTCGCCAAGCTCCGTGCTCCAGGGGCTCGCGGCTGCTGAGCTCTGAGTCGGTCCAGCTGGGGAAGACCCGGCGGCTCCGGTCGGCCTGCAGACAGAGGGCGGGGCAAGGGGCCGCAGGCCGCGGGGCGCTGGGCAGGTGCAGTGCCGAGGTGTAGCCCCGGTCCAGGAAGAGCGGCTTGTAGCTGGGCGGCGGCTGTTCCTGTTTCTCCGCACTATCGCGGCGGCTCAGAAAGGGCGTAACGATCTTGCGGTAGAGGCCGCGCGTGTCCGTGAGCACCTCGCTGTAGGGCGGCGGCGGCTCTGCCATCAGCACCGCCTCTTCATAACATGGTGGCTTGGACATGTCCGATTCCGCTGCAGAATGGGAAGCATTCCGGGGAGGTGAGGCCACCGGCCCCCAGCCATTGGCACAGGCCTTGACCAGGCGCCAGCCCCAGCCCACTCCCTCTTCCCCTTTTCTCAGAGAGGCTGTGTGAGCTGAAGCCTCGCGCTTCCGCGGTGAGCCCACCCCTTGCTGAGGCCCTGCCCACCCTTGCTGACTCTGGCCACACTTACCTTGGCGCGGGTAGCTCCAGGGCCGGGGCGGCACCGAAAGGTGCGCCAGCGCATGGTGGTGCGGATGCGGGTGTGGGTGCGCGTGCGGCTGCGCGGCCCCGTGGTGCAGCAGGGGGTGCACATGCACGTGTGGATGCGCGTGCGCCGACGCCTCTAGGCGGCCGCGGTGTGGTGGCGGTGGCGGCGCCAGGCCCGGGGGACTTCCGGCCACGCTTCCCTCGAGCTCCAGAGGCTCCAGCTCTAAGGCGCGCAGGTTCTGCTCGCGCAGTCGCTCCTCCTGGCGCCGTTTGAGACGGCGGCGCAGGAAGCTGCAGAAGCAGCAGAGCAGGACAATGAGACCCCAGATGAGCCAGAAGCCGGCGAAGCATGTGAGGAACGTGTAGGTTCCCTGGGACATCACCATGGCGGCGGTGTGAGCGACAGGTCCTCAGAAGTTTCACTGGACACTGGGTTCCTCTGCGTGGCCCCGAGCCCGCGTCACGCTCTCAGGTGCCGCCAGCGTCATCCGGGGACCCGCCACCGGGGGCTGCCTGCGGCGTGGCTCAAGTCGTGTGCGCGCTGGCGAGGGACAGCTGCGGCGCTCGCTCCTTCCCATGGCGCCGGCCAGCACGCGAAAGTGTTTCACCCAGGGCCGCGAGGGACCTGCGGGCAGACACAGGGCGCAGTGAAAGACGCGCCGTGGCCCTTGACTACTTTCAGGCCTGCGCCGGCGTCCCGAGTAGTTCCAGGGAAGCCGCCTCCGTGGGAACCCCCGCACTCCCAAGGGGGGCGGTGACGTCACCGGTGAGGATGACGTCACGCCTCGAGGTTTCCCGGGTAGGGTTTTCCCGGATTCTAGACCTGAAAGCCACTGCCATGGAGTCCAGGTGCCGACGGATCCAAAGCAAGCCAGCAGGGGGCGCGCAATGGCCAGGTTTCAGTGCTGAGCTCGTTCAAGAGATTCGCTACCCGCCACCGCTGTGTGCAGGCTACCCCAGTTCCGTAGCTGAAGAGTCTTGCGCAGCCCTGCTGCTTTGAGGGGGGTTGGGAGGAAGGAAGCGGTCCACCTTCTTGAGCCCCATAAGCAGCCCTTCTGGCGCCCAGCTTCAGGACATCCAGCCCTGCCCTTGGCCCACCCGTAGAGGAGCTTGGCCAGGCAGCTCCGACTGCCCCTGCGTGCCTCGGCTCTGTCCCTGTTTGCGCCACCTGACCAGCCGCAAGGGTGTGAGCCAGGCCCTTTCCTCCAGTTGCCTCCATCTGCGGGATTCCAGTTTCCCCATAGCCCCACTTGCTCCTCCACTCCATCTCCAGGCCGTTATATCCCTTCCCCCAATGCCTTTGCCTCTCCACAGAGGTGAGGAAAACTAGATGAGATTTATTCGGAAGCTCGTCTTTCTCAGCTCCACCTGGCCCTGCATTCACTCATTTGAGACTAGTTCCACCTCTCTCCACAGCCAGACTGAGAGGGGCAACCTGGTACCTTGCGAAAATGCAGCAAGGAGATCTTTCTGTGTAGTTAAGGTCAGCCGGTGACCACCCCCACAAACAGAAAAAGAGACCTTCTTAGGTGCTTTATGCTAGACGTTTTAACATACAAAACTTTGAGGTACACAGACAGGAATGGGGATGCAACGAGTTGTGTGGCTGGCAGGTGGCAGAACCTAATTCAAATCCAGGCCTGGCCCAAAACCCTATCCTGAGTGGGATGGGGAATGCTGCTGTTTGAGCTACTTTGTGGGCCCCATCCAGACCCCAGGACTTTCCTTCCCCTTAGCACACTGAAGGCAATGAACACACAGTTTTGGGGCCCATAATCAGCCTGAATCCCAAGGTAGGAGGATGCCAGGCCACCCCACCTTCGCCCCAGATGGCTCCTGTCTGACTCTGTGGCTACCTGCAGCCATGTGCCACTTGGTGCCCGTGCCAGTCCTTTTTGCTGGGCCTGCATTGTAGAACAGACAAGGCAGGAACAATAGCTCTACCCACCCCCTCAACAACCCCGCCATGAGGCTGCCATGGCGACGCAGCCCAGATAAAAACACGATGCTGCCAGTCACTGGGAGTTAATTAAATCTGTTGTTCTCCTTTTGCTGAGCCCTCAGGAACAGGAATGTTCAGAGGAAATTGGCACTAACTGGAGGTCCCCCTTCTTGGTAGGCCAGAAGCAACTATGGGTCAGAAAGGCACTTATGGGGCTGGGGGTAATGGGGTTTCAGCTGAATTAGAGATGTCTGTCAAGAGCCTGCTCCTGTGGTACGTGCCTGTAGTCCTAGTTACTTAGGGGTGCTGAGGCAGGAAGATCACTTCAGCCCCAGGGTTGGGGCCAACCTAGGCAACAATGAAATCGCGGTCTCTAAAAACAATTTTTTTTTTAAATTTTATTTATTTATTTTTTTTTGTGTGTGTGTGTATGTGTATGTGTGTGGCCAGCTCAGTCCACCAGGGGGCGGGGCTGGCTGGCATGTGGTGCTGGGGGATTGAACCGTGGCCCCTGTGCTTTGCTAAACTTGTTCTAAGTAGGTGCTTTAGACCACTGAGCCATCTCACCAGCCCCTCTAAAAACAATTTTTACATTTATTTTTAGTGTGTGTGTGTGTGTGTGTGTGTGTGTGTGTGTGGCCAGCTCAGCCCACCAGGGGGCGGGGCTGGCTGGCATGTGGTGCTGGGGGATCGAACCGTGGTCCCTGTGCTTTGCCAAGCTTGTTCTAAGTAGGTGCTTTAGACCACTGAGCCATCTCTCCAGCCCCTCTAAAAACAATTTTTAAAAAATACTGTGAAGGACTTATCAATACTTGTTTCTCTTGATATACAGACTTTTTCTTTTCTTTTTGTCTTTTGAGACAGGGTCTCACTACACAGCTCAGATTGACCTTGAGCTCACTTTGTAGCCCAGGCTGGTCTCTAACTTGTGACAATCCTCCTGCCTCAGCTTCCCGAGTGCTGGACTTACAGGCATGTGCCATCACACCTGGCCTTTTCATTCATTATCCTGTGTGATAATCACCACCATCTAGTCACTACTGCTAGTGCAAATTTGATAGATGAAGAGAACGGAGGAAATTACTTGCCCCAGGTCATATATTTAGTAAGAACAGCTATGATATTGTCATCTGAATTCAAACTATGTCCACCTTCCTTGTGTGACAAATGAGATGTAAATGAAAAGCCCAGCATTTGTGAGCACTCAGCACTCAGTACACAAGGACTTGGCAGCTGTGGGGGAACTGGGCAGTGTGGCCAGCTATGAGCCAAAAATGTGCATTCCTGTTCTTCCACTAAGGCCCTGGAGTGCCTGACCCTGAGCTCACTGCTGCCTTAGACTAGCTCAGGCTGGGAAAGGGCAGCACAGAATAAAGGGTACAATGACAGCTCCAGGCTGAACAAGGAACCAAAGGTAGGGTAAGGGGTGCCCAGCTTAGCAGGCAGGGCTTTGGCCAGACCGGCATAAGCCAAACCCCAAATCTACTTGGTGCCACTGACACCCTTCAGTGAGGAGGTCAAGAATCATTGCCACATTTTATAGACTGGTCAGAGACGGGCAGTCTCTTGCTTGCATGGGGTTTTAAGGCCGAGCTGGACCTCTGGCCCTAGTCTTGCTCCAAAGCCTAGCTTGAAGGTGAAGATTTGATGCTAAACACTGTCTGCTCCTGTGTGGCTACCACAGGCCCACAGGCCCACAATCAGACCTGATCTAGTACACAATTGGTGCTTAGTAATGTCAACATTGTAAGTTTCAAATCTTTGAAAATGCTCTGCTGATTTGGCTAAAGTCCTTGAAGCCTCCCTAAAAGGCTATGCCCCTTTGCTCTTCATGCCACTGTGTATGTCCTTGTCCTTGTTTGAGGACTCCTCAGATTCACAGCTTCTTGCTTGAAGCCACTGGCTTTGCCAAAGCCCTCCAGACAGTAGCAAACACCTGCCACACGTCCAATTCTATTTGTTAACAGCCATGTCCTTCTGATGGACTTATCTGTAGGCCTGAAATCTTTGTTTCTATTTTCTTTCATTCTTGTAGGTCACATGAAGATTCCTTGGGATTCCATCTTACTTTATATGTAGTGCTTTAAAGCATGTCTGTGTATAGTTTTGGGCCACACTCACTGGGAAAAAAGTAGGGTAATGACAGCAAGACCCTGGGTGTTTTATAACCTCCATGCCGCCTCATTTTCCTCACCAGTACCCATGGGGAAGCTTGAGATACTCCACTGCAGAGGTGAGGCACTGGGCAAGACATTAGCTCTGGTGATGGCAGCTTATGGTGGGGATGCAGAGATGGGTGTGTCCTTAAGGTGCCCCCTGCCTGAGGGCTGAACACCATGGAGAGTTCTGTCTTCCTAAGAAAAAGTCTTTTCATTTGACTGATGAGGAGTACTTGGCTCAAAGACACCCAAGGGCCAGAGATCTTATATTCTAGGATCTAGCTGCATTGCTGAGGGTACCTACATTGCTTCTCTGCATGAAGAACCCCAGTCCCTCAAGCTTAGAGCCCAAAGATTTGCTATAGGTTCTTTATCTCAGCAATGGGCTTATCATTCATCCCACACACCAAGTTCTCAATGCAGTGTCTTCATCTGTTTGTCTGTTGGTCCTCCTGTCCTGGTCTGGTCAGGCCACCATTGGACTCACTTTGAGTCTAATTACCATGCCTACCATAGGCTAGACCCTTTCATAGCCTACCCATTCTTCATGCTGCCCATTTCCCCTATGCCCTCCCTGTCTGAACCCTGTAGTTCCTCCTTGTTGCCTCAGAAGGCAGTCCTGCCCTTAACATGATGCCTCTCAAACTTTCACGAGCATGCAAGCTATATAAATGGTTTGTCAAAACAGGCCAGGCCCCACAGCATTTCCTCCAGCAAGTCTGGTATGGGGCCCAAGAGTTTGCATGCCTAACAAATTCAGAGCAGGTATTGAACCAGGAGCACTCTGTGACCTAAATCATGACTTCTGGGATGAGCCTCTGCCAAGGCCACTTCACCTCCTGGCATGTTTTCCAGAAGAAATAATTCCTGAGCCACCTCGTGTGTCCAGGGTTGCATGGGAGTGAAGCCCGGTGATCTAAGACTATTCAGAAATAGCCTGTGTCCACCAGAGGGTACCTCTGCCTTCGTCATTTGGCACATGGTAGGTAGTTCAAATATAAGGAACACCTCAAGAGCTGGATTGTCATCCAAATCATTCCTGAGAAATGTTTGTTAATGGGGTGTGGTGGAGCATGCCTGTAATCTCAGCACTCAGAAGGCTGGATCAGAAGGCTGAAGGAGGATCAGTGTGAGTTCGAGACAAGCCTGAACTACAAAGTGAGCTCAAGGACAGCCTGAACTACAGTGCAACCCTGTCTCAAAAAGACAAAAAAAAAAAAAAAGAAAGAAAGAAAAGAAAAAAGAAAAAAAGAAAGAAAAGGAAATGTCTGTCATTTACCACCAAATCATTGAGAAAGAAGCCATCACCCAGCATTCAGCTCTCATAGCATGGATTATAAGCAAACTCAGAACCACGTCTGTGGGCAAAAGGAAAAAGACAAGCTGGAGGTACAGACCAGGGGCTTTGGAAAAAGGAAATCCCAGGTGGCAGGTGCTCTGGGTGACCAGATGGAGCCCTGTTAATGAGGCTTGGGCCTGCTAGCACTCAGGTGAAGAGACAGACTCAGTCTCCCAAAGATAGGAAGAAGGGGGGCTGGTGAGATGGCTCAGTGGTCTAAAGCACCTACTTAGAACAAGCTTAGCGGAGCATGGGGACCACGTTCAATCCCCCAGCACCACATGCCAGCCAGCCCCGCCCCCTGGTGGGCTGAGCTGGCCACACACACACACAGATAAATAAATGTTAAAAAAAAAAAAAAAAGAAAGAAAGAACTTATCCCAGCTCCCAAAGTCAGCCAAGCAATGGAGCCGGCCATAACTTCATTTCCAGCAAGGCTAAGGGTAGAGTCTCTACAACCCAACCCTGATATTGGGAAACTGCAAGTAACAAGAGTGGGCAGAAAGGGCTTTTTTTTTTTTTTTCCAGAAAGGCCTTTTGTAGCCTAGTATCTTTTGTCCTTGGCTCTGACACTCCTGTGTGTATGGGTGGGGAACAGGATATTCAAAGACTAGACTCTGAGTAAACCCTCATTCTGTGGCTTCCTGTGCTTCTATCCTTTCATCTAGCATGAGAGTTAATTATCTGTCCTGGCAAGGGAGGTAGCTATATAGTGTGTGTGTATGCATGGGGTCTCCCTCTTACTGAAGTCGGCACAATGTAACATGCAGAGCGTAGAGGTACAACCTTGGGTTCAAATCCTGTTTCTGTCCTAACTGAGCCATGTGCTTATGCTCTGACTACTCCCATTTTTGAGCTGAAGCTGCTTTACCTCTAGGACAAGGGATGATGAGACCTGCCTGGTAGTGCCAAGGAGGGAGTACAATTGATGAAGACTGTGATAACATCCAAGGCCAACATAGACAGCTGAATGTGACAGACAAAACATCACCACCTTGCAGCCTGGAGGCTCAACTGTGAAAACCAGCCCATGGGAGTACACTGTATGCTGCCTGGGTTGGGGGAGGGCAGCAAAATGACCCTCACTTTACCATGGACCAGAGGCCTCAGACTCCTGACCCTGTGTGAACACAGTTCATGCATACATTTTGTTGGCCTACAATCTATTTTTAAAAATATTCTGATTGATTACCAGAATTTAAAAACCAGATTAGGCATGAAGGCCTAGATTTCTTGCACATGTGAAAACTGGACAATCTGGTTGTACAAAGTCCCCATCTCACAAAAGTAACATCAATTGGAGTTAAGCGCTCCCTGGCCCACCTCACTGATTCCACTGTCCCCTGGCCTGTGGAAGCACTTGAGTCTCTGACCTCTGTGCTGCACTGGGTATCCAAAGGGTCCAGCACTGCCTGAGCCCACCTTGCTGTTGTTCCACAGCCAAGAATGCAAGCTGAAAAGGCCACAGACTCAATGAACCAAAGTCTAAGGACTCAGGGATTTCCCAGGGGATTGAGGCAGTCCTCACTGCTTGATCTCAGCCAGACAGAGAAAATGGAGGGAGACAGGAAGCAAGCCCGCAGCAGCACAACCCTATAAAGCATCTGAGGCAGCAAGAATCTGGCTAATTTTGCTGCAAAAGAGAAAGGTATACCAGGCTTGAAAGACAGGGAACTTCCTCACTGGAAGAATGTGAAAGAAGGTTATAGACGCTCTCTGGAAGCCTCTAGGATGTTCTACCTTGGTCATATAAGCTATGTAGAGCAGGCTGAGAGGAGCTCTGCCAGCAGGGAAACTGGCAGTGGAAACCGAGCTCTACTTCTTACTGGTTGCATGACCTCAGACAAGTCACTTCACCTACCTAAGCCTCAGAGTCTCCACCTCTAAAAAGAGGATAATAAACTTACCTTCCACAATTGCTGTAAGAATTAGGAGATAATAGGTCCAAAAGTCATACAGAACATGAAAGAATGAGAAGAGCCTATGAATAATCTCCAAGGCCCATCTGCCTGCAGGAGACTCAGGCCTGCTTTCCCAGGCATTATCCATCTATGGACACCTTATGCCAAGGCCTCAGATGCCCCAGATACCTGTCACCTCTGGTGCCCAGGACACCTTCCTGGAGGGGAAAGAAAATCCAAAGGTGGCTGTGGTCTCAGAGATGCTGGATCCAAAGCCTGTGGTCAGAGATGGCATCTGCTGAGTCAGGCCATGGTGTGCTGGCAGAGGGGGCATTTCTCTCTCCAGCATACCGCCTGCTGAAGGGAGTCTGGGAGGGGAGCCAGAGGTCATTTCCTCTGACTCAGTGGCCATTCTTCCCAGAGGAGCTCCCCTGGAGGACAAGGCATCTCCATGTGGCAGTGGCCTGTCTGCCAGCCGACCTGCATGCCACCCTGCACAGTTAAGGCATTGTGCTTAGACAAGAAAGGGACACTTGTAGACCAGACAGTGGGCTTGGTTTCTCCCATTTGGCCTCAGCTTCGGCTTCCTTGGGTCAGTAGTGTCCATTCCTCTGTTCCTGCCTACTCACTTCCACTGCTCCCCAAGAACAGTGGTTAGGAACCAAGAACAGAGACCACCTCCAGCCTATGGGGCAGTTTGGCACATGCTCTGGCCATGAGGAGGTGGAAGGAGTCAAGTTGTTTTTTTGTTTTCTGTTTTTTTTTTTCTCTCCCTGGATAAGGAACATGGCCTCTGGGAAATGCAACTCAGGCCATATAGGGAGGGAGCAGAAGGCCCTGGGTAGTGATAATGTTGGTGGGAGCTATGGAGTTGGGACCCCAGACCCAGCTTGCCTGCCTCTTCTCTCACAGCAAGATTAGGGTCTGGGCCGCCTCCACATTTGCAGCCACTCTAGAAGCCCTGCTGCAACGATTGCAGCCACGTGGGAGCCAGCTCGTGCCCACGGAGCCGTTCACCCCCCCAACCCCCATCGTCAACCAGCTGGATAGGCTGGCACACCCAGTCGGGCCACTGGGACATTCCCCCCCATGGCGCCCACCTCTCTCCCCGCACCCCCAGCTCTGGCCCCGCAAAAAGTGGGGTGGGGGAGGGGCGTCGCCACCCCTTCGTCGCGTTGCCAGGGAGCGCAACCCCGTTGCTGTGGCAACCGTTTCCAAGCGAACTGGTGGCTGCTTGAGCCCGCTCAGGCTCCTTTGCTCACTGGCGCCCTCCACTCTCCCTCCCTCCAGTGTGGGCTGGGGGAGGGTCTATCCGCGGCCCGGACGGGGGTCCTGAGCGGCGACCCCAGCCAGGGTGCATAGCTGCCCACCGGGAGGGGCTCAGCCATAGGAACATCTTCCGCCCTCCATGCCTGCCCAACCCGCAGCCACCGCGGTACTCACGGGCCCAGGCATCCTCCTCGAGCTCGTCCTCCTGCTTGGGGCGTGAGGCCCAGTGGACCAAGTGCCCGGCCCGTGGGAGGCGGCGGTAACAGCGGCTGCCCCAGGGAGCAGACAGTGGCAGCAAAAGCGGCTCGGAGCGAGCGCTGAGCTGGAGCCACAGAGCGCGCGCACGGCCGCGTACACAGCGCGTGCCAGCCCAGCGTGCGCGCGCGCGCGCAGCAGCCAACAGAGGGCCCCTCACCCCACACTGCCACACGCCGCCAAGGAGGCTGCCCCTAGAGGGAAGGGGGTGCGTGGGACGCAACACCCGTGTGCCGCACCCAGACCGGGTACACAAGGGCGCCAAGTTCACACACTCAGGGCATCCTGCACAGGGAATGCACATGCCACACACCTCTTGGAGATAGGCTGCTAGGCGGGGGCTGGAGCACGCTGGCAGACCCAGGCACACATTGATCGCACATGCTGGATAATCAGCCATGCAGCTGAGGTCAAGAACCCTGATCCACACATGGCTCAGCCTAGAGCTATACCCTGAACACATTCCGACAAGCTACTGTACACATGAGGTGGGCAGGGGTTTGAGTCCACAACGACTCCAGTGTGGGTCCCTCCCAACTCAGGCCCACACTCACTGTCCCCCCATCAAGCACAGGCCATCAAATGCCAAATAAAGAGGCATAGGAGGACCTAGTGCTGAATGGCTACAGGCACATGCTTACCCAAAGGAACAGAGATGACCCCTAAGAAGGGCCCCACCCTGAGGTCCTCTTAAAGGGGTCACTTTGAACCTGACAGTCTTGGCCTTTTAGCTAAGTTGTTTCTATACCAACTTCTTTATGATTTTCACGGTGATCTTTCAAAACCCACCTCTCAGCTGTGGCATACCCCTGTAATCCAAGCACTTGTGAGGCTGAGGCAGGTTTCTTACTAGTTCAAGACCAGCCTGAGCTCAAGGCCAGCCTGAGCTGTATGGTAGACCCTCTCAAAAAAGAAAAATACACACACCCCACCCTTTTTCACCATAACAGTTGCAGTATTTGTGTGTTGCAAAGCACAGAACCCTAAAATAAATAAGCTTGAGCTCACAGGGACTGGGTTATATCACTAGAAAGTCCGAAGACCTGCCACAACTTGATTCTAGGTGTTTTAGCAACGGCATCAAGGGTGTATCTGCTTCTCTCTTGCTCCTTGCCACCATTTTGGCAAGAGGTTGCAAGGATGAGCTCCACAGCTTTAGGCCACCCATTCCCAGAGGAAAAAGCTGTTACCCAACGGTTTGGGAAAACCAACCAAACCAATAAACCCACACATAACTTTCAATTGGACTCATTTGGCTGAGTATCAATGAACCAATACAGGCAACCACACCTTGGGAGAGAAGGTATGTGTTCTAAACAGCCACCCAGTACCCATTCTGGTTTTTTTTTTTGGTACATTACTGGGAGAAACGACTGCCCTGATGAGTGCTGTCACACTGAGCCTTTGAAAACAAGTATTTTGCTCTCCCAAATCAGGATTCCTTGGCTTGCTCAATGTTGCCAAGACAGGAATAACATTTTGCTTTTGGTGGTCATGCTCTGGACAGATGAAATTGGCAACACCTGCACCAACAGAACTGGGGAACCAAGGGCCTCTACGTAGCTACAATCTCAGCTCTTTATTTCTTGAGAGGGTCTTCCTAAACTGCTCAGGCTGGCTTCAAACTTGCAGTCTTTCTGCTTCAGTCTCACTTGTAGCTAAGATTACAGGTGTAAGCTGCCACACCCAATACTCTGGTCCTTTTCATCTGAGCATACATCCTGTTAACTAGAAAGCTGCACCATCTCTTGTAATGTTTCTATCTGGGTCATATATGTGGTGTACTATATGCAGGAGTGCAAACCCACCACCATCTAAACCAAATGGAAAGGAAGGGTTCCATAAAGGAAACTATGTTTGTAGATGCTGGGACAGACATCCTGATACCAGTCAAAACCCTTTAGGGATTCCCCAACTATCCAGATGGGTCCTGCAGCCTTAACATGGCTTTCAAAACTGGTTTCAGGTCATTCACCTGAGCTGCAACCACTCCTTTTTTTCCACTCCACTCCAACCCCATGCTCAATCATTCTAAACCACAAGAAGCTCTCCCATCACCCCTCTGTCCCTGGTGTCCTGGAGATGCCAACTAAGGCAGCTTCATGGCCAAGGCCTCTCCCATTTGGTGGAGCCCTCAACCTGCCCTACTCTAGAATCCTCTCTGCTAGTGCTGCTCACACTTGGTGCCACTGTTCCCATGTCTCTCTGCCTACCAGACCGAACTCCAAACTGGCAGGGACCTGGTTTCCATCTATGTCCCCAGCTCCTACCATATAGCTGGATGGGAAGGAGGTGAGCTTAGTGAAAACTTGTTGGGAAATGAATTCAGGGAGTTGCCTCTGCCAAAGATGTAAGGTAGCCCTAGCAAGGTTCCCCGGATGCCTCCCACACGAGGAACATGGGAGAGGGGTCTCAATGCCTGCATGTCTACCTGGCACATCTGCCCACGAATGGGTTTTGGCTTCTGCAAGCTAATACCTATCTGATCCCAACTCCAACCCCAGAATCTGGAGCAGAGGAACAAATATACTTCAAACCCCAACCTCATGGAGAAGATCTGACTTGTTCATCTTTGGCTGGCCTGTTTTATTCAATCTTATATTGACCACTCACCCAGTGGAAGAACTTGAGTGAATCCCCCACCACAGCATACATATACCCCTTGCCATTTCCTTCAAACTGATGAAAGGAGCAAGGATTCCACACACCAAGAGGTTCCTTCTACAAAGTTGGGTGCTGGGTACCTTCCAGCTGCTGTTAAAACAGCTGCCAAGCTTAGCACCACCCAGCACCTACTACCCTAGCAGCTGAGAGACCTGTTAGTAACCCAGAGGCTCTAGAGGTTCACTGGTTGCTTCAGTGGACTTACACAGCTGCCTCGCAAGAAAATAGGTATCACCTTCATCTTCCTAGACAAGGGAAAGACCTGAGCCAAGTTAGTTAAAAAAACTGCCATGCTTGGACCTGAACCCGTAACTGGCAACAGCAGAGTCTCATGTAGTTTTTGTAGATATGCCTGGCCCAGGGGCAAAGAACAAACTTTTATTATGGTAACAGGGTATTCTTGGGAAGAGCTGGGAACACTGGAAGGCTACTGAACAGTGACAAGTTTGTAAAGTCTAGGTTCTTATCCCCAAATAATCGCAAATATGGTTCTCCAAGCTGTCTCCCTGGCAACTCTCCTTTAAGTCTCAGTTACCCACTACTTCTGGAAAACCTGTCTTGATGTGCAGGTGGCTGGTCCCTTCCCAACCCTGCCATACCTTCTTCCCAGTATCACCACTCTCTAGGTCTTTGCCCATCTATATGTAATGCTTCAAGGACAAAAGAGAGGGTTGCACATGCACCAGTCCAGGGACAGGCACATAGCAGGTAGCCTGTAGAGAAAGATGTGGGGCAGGTGTTTGTAATAGCAGCTCCTACCCTGGCTCCCCAGGCCACTCCCAAGTTCATATTTGGCAGCCAGGTCACCTTGGCCTTGAATAGCTTAAAGACTATCCAGCTAGGCCTGCCTCTAGACAGTCAGAAACAGGCCCACACTCCAGCACCCAAGACTCTTCCTTATGCCCTGTACTATTTAAGAAACAGTGGAATCCACTCAGTGAACTCCAAGACCATGAAGGCCTGGCTGCCTACAAAGACTGCCTTACAGTAAGTCCTAAAGGCTCCTGGGCCTTGGAAAGGGAGCCCCTCACCCCCTCTGCCAATCCTATCTTATTTCCAGCTGGGCCAGGGAAGCAGGAAGACCCCCCTGGAACACCAGAGGCAAGAAAGAGGCAGGCAAGGGCAGCTGGCCAGGTTTGTGCTCAGACTGTATTCACGCAGAGACATGTGGCAGCTTACATTGGACAAAATTGAGTAATAAAAATTAGCTTTAAATACAGAAAAGCCAGGGTCCTGTAATCCCTTTCTACCCTAACACCGGGACCAGGATGGCTATCAATTACATTCTGGGGAAGACCAGGACTGGGGCCCGGGACATAGGCACAGCCTTACCCTACCCCCTTCACACATACACAGATACACACCCACACATTCCCCATGGGCACACACAGGGAGGGGCAGATTATTGCTGGGCACATGTGTGTATGTTTATGAGGGGATTCTGGAATGTTGGCCAAAGCTGGCCAGGGACATCCCTACCTCTCCTATGGCCTGGGCTGGAGCATTTTTGAAAGAGGTGTCTTCAAGGGCCCAGCATAAGAGACAAGGTGACCTGGGAGCTGGAAGGCAGAGGGAGACCCATGTGGATCAGCTGGGGCAGTGAACTAATAGGTCTCAACAGTCAGTCCAATCTCTGGTCACACTTTGGCACAGGCCTACAGGATAGAGAACCCTGATTCAACGCTGATAACTGCCATAAAGGGACACAGTATTGGGCCCTAGTCAGTGCAGCCTGAGCCCAGGACACCAAGGGCAGGTATGAGCCTCACTCGGAGGTTGGTGGGGGCCAGCACAATGCTGGGGGCTCAGGGATCTGGCCTTGCCACTTCTGAGTGGGGCCTGAGAAGCCTTGACTTTGGCAGTGGCTCCTCTGCTATCTCTTAGCTCTCCCAGCCGGTGCTGGCTGCCCTAGAGACTGAGGCAGAGCGCCAGGTATGGGGCAGGAATTAAGAAAGCTCTGGTTGCTATATACATTCATACAAATACATAAATACAGAAAGCCCCGAGCCCCACAGAGGAGCTGAAGGGACGCACCTTTGTCCCAGGGACGGCCCAGGCTTTGCCAAACTCAGTCAGGCCAAGGGCTGAGAGGACACTGGGGACAGCTCCGGCTGTGTTCCCCAGGCCACGACTTTAGTGGACAATGGGGAAGACCACTGTGCAAAACTGTAAACAGCACTTGGAGCAGCTGCTACCGCCAACCGATGGTGGGGGCCTCGGGCTGGGGACTAGAGGCGGGTGGGGAGCTCTTCCTCACTGTCGCTGCAGTTCCCACAGCAATCCTGGAGGGACAGGGAAGACATGGAGGGAGAGAGGCAGAGCAAGGGCTGTTAACCTCCAGTGATGCTGCATAAGGCTGGCCCTGCCAGGACAGGAAAGGTGCCACCCAGGGTCACACTCTGGGAAGAGGGCTCCCCTGAGGGGACTAGTGCAGCAGCTCAGGCCACACTTGAGTGGACATGAGAGCAAATGCTTATGGCAACTGATTTAAATAAGGGGGACTAAGGAGATCCCAGAATCTGCCAGGGAAAGGCCTCTGTTTAGGCCGTATAGGGGCTGGGCACAGGGAGACAGACAGCTGAGTAAGGCTGACAGCTTGAAGGGGCCAGGTTGCAGGAAACTGCAGCAGTGGGGAGAGGTACAGGGGGAGCGGGCACCAGACTTCTTTCTCCCACATCTTGCCTCTGCCATTGAAGGGCTGCCTGGGGCTCCCCGAGGCTGGGCGGCGAGGCTAACCCATGGGGAGCCCACACTGCTCACCTCTGGAAAGAGAAAAGAGGCCATGAGCCCAGCCACGGGAGGAGAATGAGGTCAGAGACCCTGGGTATTGCTGGCAGGGCTGAAGCATGCCCATTCCCAGCACTGGCAGGTACCAGCTATGCCTCCCACCCATCAGGCTGGGAGCCCAGGCAGTATACTGCCAGAGCTTACCTGGCGGCTAAACAATCTCTGTAGCAGTCCCTTCTTAGGTGGTGCGGGTGGCTGGCCCTTCCAGTCCAGGTCTGGAGGAACTGAGCCATCCAGCCCAAAGACATTCAACTCCTGGAAGCACTCGGTCTCCACCATCTACCAAGAAACAAGCAGTTGTGAAAGCCTATCCCTAAAGCTGTCCCCCTGGAGCCCCTCTCATCAGTGGGCCAGGTCTCACCTCATTCTGCCAGGGGATGGGCACGCTGCCTGTGGCAAACTTCTCATAGAAGTCCTGATCGGTTGGTTCTAGCTCCACACCCTTAACAGTGGAGAACTGTTCAATGTCCAGAACATCCTTGCAATAAATAGCCTGGGGCTAAGGGGAAAGAATGTCATCAGACAGGGAAGCACAATTGTGGGCACATACACATGTGTATGCACACATAGAGACAGGAAGGCAGCTCAGCTTGGAGCCTCACTCTGACCCTTGGCCTGCTTCTGCCCTGACACCTACAGAATCTGGTCTGCAGTCAGCAACCAGGTAATTAATGTACTTCTCAAGCACTACTGTCTCTTCTGTCTGAGGCTAACTTGTTCCTCAAGTCCTCTCCTGCATACAGAGACTAATTTTTTAACTGTGTGTGTGTTTATTTATTTATTTATTCATTTGGTACAAGTTCTTGCTATGCAGCTCAGACTTGTAGTGAGCCTCCTGTCTCAGCCTCCCCAGTGCTGAAATTATAGATGTGCACCACCACGCCCGGTTTCAGTGGCCAGCTGAGTGCAGGGCTGGCATAACATGTGGCACCAGGGATCGAACCCGGGTCCTTGTGCTTGCCAGGCAGACGCTTAAGCTGCCAAGCACGTATCTCCTGAAGATAATATATTATCCTTCATTGGTCAGTGACTGAGTGATGCTGGGTACAGACCTGATGCTGCCCGCAGCCCCACACAAGGCTGCCTAGGTGTGTGGCTGGTGAAGGGAGTGCAGACTGAAACTCTGCCAGTCCCCATGCAGGGCCTACAGCAGACAGGCCCCTGCCCTAAGATGTCCAGTGGCTTGCTCTGTCCCCTTTCATAACCAGCCCCCTACCTTCCCAGTCACTTGTTGGGAGGCCACCTCAGCCTCAGAAGACCACCTTCTTTTCCATCTTAACAGTGTTTTCTCAACCCTACTATTAAGGTTATCAATTAAAATATCATTATGGGGCTGCAGGTGTACTGTAGCTCTGTAGTACAGCATGTGCTCAGTAGGACCTGGGTTCAATCCCCATGTGTATGTGTGTGTATGCGCGCACACTCCCTGCCCCTTCATGAAAAATGGTGCATCTGCTTTGGAAAAAGCGTGGCAGTTCTCCTAAAAGGGTAAAAACAGCTAGTGTATGACCTAGTAGTTCCGTTCCTAGGTGTAACACCAAGAAAAATCACATCTGTTCACACAAGAAATCTGTAGTTACAGAACAGTCAGGCATGGTGGCAAGTGCCTGGCATCCTAGTTATTTGGGAAGCTAAGGCAAGATTATTTGAGTCCACAAGGTTGAGACCACTCTGAGCAATACAGCAAAACTCTGTATCAGAAAATAAAGAATGCTTATAGCAACATTCTAAGTAAAAAAAAATAGAACTCATCCTAATGTCTATCAATTCATGAATAAAATGTTGTGTTACTTACAAAATGAGATATTATTCAACCTCAGTAGGGAACAAAGTACAACACAAAACATGGAAAAACACACTACCAGGCACAGTGGTGCATGCCTGTAATCCCAGCACTCAGGAGGATGAGGCAGGAGGATCACCACGAGTTTGAGGCCAGCCTGGGCTATACAATGAGTTTAATACCAGCCTCAACTACATAGTGAAACCCTGTCTCAAAAAACCAAAACCGGGCCAGCCAGATAGTTCAGTGGACAAAAGTGCCTGCTTAGGCAGAACACAGTGGCCAGGGTTCAATCCCCGGAGTGCCATGCTGGCCCCACCCCTGAGGCATGCTGAGACTGGCAACTAAGACAGGGCAAGGTAGAGCGCATCTGTAATCCCAGCACTTGGAATGCTGAAAACAGGAGGATCACTACAAGTCCGATCTGTGTAGTGAGACCCTGTAGACCCTGCCCTAAATACATAAAAACAAAAACAAAATGCTAAGAAGCCAGTCATGGAAGACCATATATTGTATGATTTCATCCATATATGTGAAACATTCAAAGTAGGCAAAAATTTAGAATATATTAATGATAACAGCAGGAAGAGAGACTAGGGATGACTACTAATGGGGAGAGATTGGTGGAATTTTTTTTGGGGGGGGTAAAACATTCTAAAATGTATTGTGATCATAGTTGTACAAATACACCATACTAAAAGTCACTGAGTTACACACTTTACACAGTGGAGTTACATGGTATGTGAATTAAATCTCAAAGAAGCTGTTAAAAAATATAGCAGAACTTACTTTTCATCTACTGCTTCTGAAAAGTTAAAACTCTAAGACGCTGACTTTTTTTTTTAAGGTGCTGACTTTTTTTTTTTGGTGGAACTGGGGATTGAACTCAGGCCCTTGCACTTCTCAGGGAAGCGCTTATTCCACTGAGCCATCTCCCCGGCCCAGTGCTGACTTTTGTTTCTACCTTTGAACTGAAGGTCCCAGGGCAGCATGTGCACAGGAAGCACCCGAGTGAACCTGAGCAGCAGTACCAGCCTCCAGCAGGCTAATGGAGGTCTGGACATCTTGGTTTGAGTTGCCTATGACAACTGCATTTGAGGCCTACCACATGAGACAGTCATGAGAGCCAGAGCCTCCTTAGCTGGCCTCACTTCCACACATGCTGTCTATGACCAACTACCCACACCTCACTTTCTTATTTAAAACCCTCAGGGCTGCCCTGTCACACTTATGTATGATGGTCCTTCTTCCCTGCATATACCCATTTGAGCCACACTGTTCTCCGCCTTGTCCCTCCATCTCACTGGCTACTCTCTGGTCCAGGACCCAGTGACTGGCTGCTCCATTTGCCTGGAATGCTTACCCCACCCCACCTCCAACTTTTGGTTTGGCTCTCTTTCACTTATTTTTAGTGTCCGCTTAATCAACTCCCCAAAGACCACCCTAAAATTCCTATCAAACCCTTCCCCATCATGCTCTTTCTTTTTTTTTTTTTTCCGGAACCAGGGCTTGAACTCAGGCCTTTGTGCTTGCCAGAGAAGTGCTTATTTTACTGAGCCATCTCCCTGGCCCCATGTCTTTTTAGCCTGCTTTATTTTTCTTTGTTGGACTTAGCATTACCTGAAACTTTCTAACTTAGTGGTTTATTTTTGGCATGTCTTCCCACTAGAACAAAGACAGACCTGTGGACCTCATTATCTCCAAAATCTGGCACATAAGCAGATATTTGTCAAATGAATAAAAAACACATGATCGATAGTCACCAATCTGGCCTATCCATCACCTTCTAGCCTTTCCAGTGAGCCTGTTAAACAATCACAGGACCTAGTCCTCATATACATGGGAGGGAGGCAAGCACATGGCCTGATCCTGGCCAATCAGAACCTTCCCCGTAACATTACACAGAGAAGCCTGAATTCAGGAGAAGGGATATAGCAATAGACTAGAGCAGAGCCATGAGATGGAGAATCTTGGCAACACAACCTGAAACCCTGATGTCGGCTCTACTCTGTGACTTTCTTATGAAACAAACCAATACACTTCACAGGGAAGTAGAATAAGCCAGACAAGCACAGGGTCCTGATTTCAATCCCTGGTACCGCCAAAAAAAACAAAAAAAAACAAAAAAACCCCACCAAAATACACTTCACATTGGGCTTGACTAAGTTGGAATTTGGTTTCTGTAATTTGTAATATGATGATTAGAGACTGTTGGTGCTCATAGGTCCTGACCCAGGAGATGCTCAGTAAGTCAGTGCGAGTCTATAAGGGCAAGTGTCCTGACTGAAGAGGGGCAGGCAGCCCAAAAGACATCCCCCCTGTTGGCATGACCACTTTGGTTTTCCTTTGGGAAATGGATTGTTCTCACTGCCAGTAGACAAGCTGGACATGTGATCCAGTTGTGGTCAGTGAGGGTCCTCTAAGCGAACAGAAATAATGAGCCATCAGCCTTAAGATGGTTTTCTCCTTTGGGATTTCCTCCAAAATTCTTGGGCAATAGCTGCTGTCTACAGGGATGTCTACTGGTAGGTTGTGGGCTTGATCTGCTGGGGCCATTACTGCCAGTCCCTAGGAAAGCTGCCTGACAGTGATGACCACATAATCCACAGTGTGTGTAGGGAAGACAGGGAATTCCTTCAGTACTCTTAAGGCTACTCCACCTCCACACCTCCCCCGTCAGGTATGCCAAAAGCCAGATCTACCTGATCTGGCTTTTCATTTTTGTGAGAGTAATGATGAGGTTGGGCTTTGATTAGACTTTCTTACAGACTAAAGGTGTCCTCCCCCTACTCAAGGGTCCCCAGCCCCCATCCCAGCTTGGCCCTCCCCTCTGCAGAATCGGGCTGCACTCACATCAGGCTTAAAGGGTGGTTCTAGCATGCCTGCTCCCAGTCGCTTGAAGTTCAGCTTTTTGAAAAGAGGGTGCTCCTTCACCTCTTGGGCGCCGGCCCCACGACACCCCAGGCGCTCCACAGGGTCCTTGCAGAGGAGCTATAGCAGGGCATGGGTGGTCAGGGTGCCCCTGTGCAGGCAGGCCGGTGACGCCCCAGCTCCAGCCCCAGTCAGTCAGGCCTCCCACTTGCTGTGATACCTGGGAACAGAGTGAGCAGGCCTGCGGGGAAAAGCGCTCAGAGTATTCTTCAGGAACCTCCTTCACCAACCGCTCTACCTCCTCTCGCTTGATCTTCTTCTTCCTCTGCTGGAAGGGTGACTGGCCTGCGATCATTTCATATAGAAGGCAGCCTAATGCCCACCAGTCAGGGCTGAATGTGTATCGTTCATTCTTCACCACCTCTGGAGCTGGGCAGGGCACAGAACCAAGACTGGTAGGTGGGCTGCAGGAATGCCTGGTACATATGAATTCAGGGCACCCACTAAAACACCCACTGGTCAGGGAGGCACCATTATCAACTAGGTGGGGATCTCATCAAGTACAGAACATACATTTCAACAAAGGGAGCTGACAAAGCCTGCAGGGTGCCACACCTAGGGTCCCAGCTCTTCTGATTTCTTTCTTTTTTGGTGTAGTGTTGGGGATGAAACCCAGGGCTTTGTACATTCTAAGCAAACACTCTACCACTGAGCTATATATCATAGTGCTCAAATCCTTATTTTTTTACATAAAGCTTTCTGGCTTATTAAGTGTTGGCAACCAATTCAAAGTGTTCCACAATTTTACTTCAATACTAATGTAGGCCAAATTGGGCTCTTGTGGTTACTAGTTTGCAACTTCTGGATTTCATGAGAGACAAGAGTGGGCCGAAACTCCCACTTGCTGATACCTCCTACCTGCCAGGGCAGGCACCTGAGGAGTTTTCCCTCAGCTATCTCTTTTCATCTCCAAGCAACCCTGGGAGGCAGCTCTGATGATCCTTTCACAGTAGAGAAAGAGAGACTGGGAGAGAAGGAATCTCTAGCACCAGGGTACCACAACAGACAAGTGGTAGAATTTATAGGGCCAGGACTCTGTCTACTTTGTGATGTGGTTCCTCACCCCCGACCTACATAGAGGGGGGCATAGGCCCATTGCCTTGTACCATAAATGTGCACACTTACTCCAAATGTGGGCAATTCAGCACAGGCAGGGCTACAGTCATGGAAATAAGTCTGATTTTCTTCTCCCTGTCCTGGTAACCCTTGCTGGCCCAGCTAACTGTATGTGTCCAATAAACATTTAGTAAATGAAAGATGTAGATTTATAATGGTAGGTATCTGGCTGGGATCTTGGTCTCCTAACCCACAAAAGAGGAATATCAGCATGGGCTCTTTCTACTCTCTCAGGGACAAATAATCTCCATACAGAGGATGGTGGTCAAGGCCCAGGACAATGAAGAGACCTTCAAGGCTGGCGGCCTAGGACAGAGGGAGACTTACCCATGTAACCCACAGTGCCCACACGACCTTTGATGGTCTGGCCCTCAGGCACATGCACAGCCAGTCCCAGGTCAGAGATGCGGATATGGCCTGAATGAGAATGGAGAAGCAGGTGGGCCTATCAGGGGCCAGGCCTCCCCAATTTACCCAATCCTACCCTTGTCCCTCCCTACCCACCGTGGTCATCCAGAAGGATGTTCTCTGGCTTCAGGTCCCTGGGGGAGAGAAGGGCAGGGTCAGCTGCTATTCATCTTGCCAAGAGCCAGACAGGGCTGGCCCCTCTAGGTCAATGCCAAGAACAGATGACTCTGATCTCCCTGGACAACAGCCCTGACTCAAGATGGCAGATAAAAAAGATTTACAGTGCCAGGATTCCCAGGTTCTTCCTAGGTGAGTGAAAGGTGATTCTCACTCAGGGGAGGATTTCTTAGACATCACCAGTGTTGAGGAGCTCCCTCCTGTTCGGTTGCTGATTCTACCATCCCACTGTTACAGGGCTATTCATCTATCTCCTCATGGGGCTGTCATGGGGCTAAAGAGAAATCATAACCAGTCACCACCATAACCAAAGCTCTTCACTACTGAGCCAACTTGCAAGGTACGAAGCATAGTCTCTGCTTAGCAGAAAAGGAAATAGTGTTGTCTTTGCAAGGAGCTGACTGACCCAAGGTCACACAAAAGGTAACAATATCAGGATTCACAAAGAAAGGTCAGCTAGACCCCACAGCCTAGGTCCAAGCCACTGAAGTCAGCCCATTATGGAGGAGTGTTGAGTCCCAAGCCAGTTATTGCTGTGGCCAAGTCACATCTTTGTTTTGTCTTTTTTTTTTTTTTTTTTTTTTTTTTTTTTTTTTTTGGTGGAACTGGGGATTGAACTCAGGCCCTTGTGCTTGCCAGGCAAGTGCTTATTCTACTGAGTCATCTCCCCAGTCCAGGCTGGTCTGGAACTCAATATGATCTTTCTGTCTCAGCCTCTTGAGTGCTGGAATTTTATAGATATGTACCAGCATGCCTGGTGTTTTTTTTTTTTTTTTTTTTTTTTGGGGGGGGGGAATCAAAGTCACATCAAAGTCACACTAATAGCCTTTTGCTGTTGACCTGATTAACAGGGTTGGCTGCCTCCATCCATACCAGCTATAGCCCCTGGAAATTGGCCAAACCCTGGGAGAGCTGCTAGCTCCACCCCACCTGTACACGATGCGCTCTCGATGCAGGTCCTCCAGCCCACAGCAGATCTCAGCAGCATAGAAGACAGCACGTGCTTCAGGAAAGCCAGCCTGGCCCATGTGGTAGATGTGGAACTTGAGGTCACCTCCATTCATCAGCGTCAGCACTAAGCACAGTGCATCCTTGGTCTCATAGGCATAGGCTAAGCTCACCTGTGGCCAGGGGATCAGAGCCCTCAGGCAGGAACCTGGGGCCACCTGGGGACAGGGCTAACACCAACTGCCCAAGATATCCTTGGGATACCATTCCTTGGGGCTCTGCATGCTTCCCAGGCCCCTACTCCTGGGCAATGCCTAGGCCGAGAAGGGGGAGGCCTAGTGGAGCGGGGTAGGGTAGAGGGAAGTCCCTTTGTTGATTGGGACAGACTTTTGCCTGGAGAGCAGGATGAACCAGTAGGACCAAGAGGAAGGGAGAAGTCTCCTTTCTGTACTTACTACAAACCTACTGTTCACTTTCTCCAGGATCTGCTTCTCATTAAGAGCCATGGCCTCCCCTTTCCGCTTCTTGATTCGTTTCTTCTCCAGCTTCTTGCAGGCATACATCTTGCCTGTTGCCCGCACCTGGCAGGCACATACCTGTGGCAGGGATAGACAGGAGCAAATGGAGGCCAACCAGGCTCTTGGGGATGAGGACAGGTGCAGGTCCACCCTAGCCAGCCTTGTGCACTCTCCTAGAGCGCTGGCCTGATCACTCACCTCCCCAAAGCCACCTTTGCCAAGGACTCGGTACTGCCTAAAGGTGTTTTTCGTCACTGGCTGCCTGTGAGCAAGAATCAAGACAGGAGATGTTGTCTGAGAAGGGCTCAGGGATCAGGAAGAGCCTTCAAAACCTGACCTAAACTAGCTCAGTCTGGGAGGAGCTTACCTTTCCAGCCACTTCCACTGCAGGAAACGGTTGAAGTAGATGCTGTCGAGGTAGTCAGCAAAAGGGGCCATGCTCAAGTACTCATGGGTCAGCCTGTTGAAGGACCAGCCCACAGATCAGCCCGACACCCAGATTCTTGGCTTGCTGGTCAGGGCCTCCCATGATGTGCAGTTCAGCCTACAAAGCATCGTCCTTAGCCAATCCTCTAGATAAGCCACTAAAGGTGAGGATGCCACAGAGATAGGAGGCCAACTGCCAAAGTTAAACAGTGGGTAAAGGCCAGGGTAAGAAGCTGAGCTGTTCTCAGCCTTCTGGACCCAGAGAAGCCCCCTCCTCTAAGCTTAATTCCAGGCTTGTAAGCAGGGAGGCTTACCGGGTCAACTCCTGGAAGAGGTCTTTGCATGGCCCATGCTCCAGCCTCTGGGCACAGTTAGTCACCAGCTGCAGGGGGACCTCAGGGATGAGATCAGGACCCTGGAGACAGGCCACATACAGGTCAGTGCAGGGGCTTATTTGCCAGCTGCCCACTCCCTGGCAGAGGTGCCGAGTATCTCTGCTGGTCCCAGTGTGGCTGCTGGCGGGTGCTGCGCTGGCTGCCCAGTTGCCGGACTCCCTTCCTTTTCTCCCTCCCAAGACAGCAAGAGGCAGAGCTGTTGGCAGGCCGCCTGGCCGGAGCTCAGCTCACCCCCTGGGCTCCATGCCTGCGGTGTTGCCTGGAGCAGCTCCAAGGCACTCAATGCCCAGGCTGTGGTCACTCCTCTCCCTGTTGACACTGAGCCCTGAGTCCAGCCTGCTGCTGTCATCTCTCCATCACTGCTCACTCACCGTGTGGCTCAGAAAACTCTGCATTAGCCGCCGCCCACATGCCTTCCGCTTCTCATCAGGGGTCACCTCATACTCGGCCTGCACGGTAAGAGGGAGAGAAGCCTGGTGTCTGCACAGAGCAGTGGATATGGGGAAACAGGGCACAGTGTGGGGACCTCCACCTGCCTGCCCTTGGTGGTGGGCTGGGGCAGGCTGCACTCACCACCCCGTCCAGGAAGGCAATGCAGCGTGTCAGCTCAGGCCTTGTGGTACAGAACTCCCGGAACAGAAGGCGCCCAATAGGCTGCCGCTCACACAGACTGTGGTAGTCACGCTCTGCAGGCCAAGGTAGAAACTGTTGGGGTCACAGTCCTGGAGCCCATTGGCAGGGCACTTCTGCCTATGCCACCAAGCCCTGGGTCCCAACAGCTTCCAGCCCTCAGTGTGGCAGCCATTATCTCCTTTAAGGCTCTCACAACTCTGAGGTAAGTACTGCGCCACTCACAACATTGTAGACTTGAGACTATGAGGTCCAGACAGGCTAATTGATTAGATTAATGCACACAGTCAGTAGCCTGAGCTCCAAAGCCCAGACACCCACCTCCCCTGTCATCTGATTCACACAACTTGTGTGTGTCAGTACTAGGGCTGGGTGTGGTCTGTGAGGTTCCTGCCCAGCCAGGGGCCAGGCCCACACCTGTTGCCTGCCTGGCGAAAGTGCGAGAGGAAGTTGTGGCTTCCGGCGTGCTCTTAGCTGGGCCTCCTTCCCAGGCAGTAGAAGCAGCCATGGTGTACTCTGTCCACATACTGGGCTTCAAAGTGGGCCCAGGCAACCTCAGGTGCTATTCAGACCTCAGGATTCCACGAAGATAAACAGGAACTGGGGGCCTCGGTCACTCTGTCCTTTCCCAGAAATAATCCTGTCATATTGCCTTGGCTTTTCTGGACACCCCCTAGGTTGGGCAGGCTGGGGGCTCTCAATACTGTCCTTCTAGCCAGAGGCCTTGCTCCTGCTGGTATAGCTCTCCCTACCTCTCCTTTCTCAGTGGCCCCCAATCTGTCTCTGTTTCCCTCCCCATATCCACTTCAACTGACTCCAGTCAGCCCCTGTTCACTTTCTGCCCTCCACCCATCCCAAGGCCAGGAACTGAAACTGGGTTGGTGCAGCCTCAACCTCTTTGGCCATCAGATTCCCCAACCTTGCCCCTGTGTCCCAGGACAAGGTCTCAGGGGAGGCTTCCCTTGAACCAAGGGTCCCCTCTGCTTCAGTAGTTCCCAGTCTCCAGCCAGGCCTTACCGAGGCTGAGCCGTAGTTCTTCACACTGGCTGATGTGGGGGAACTGAAGCATCTGCCGCCATTTCTTGCTCTTGCCTTTGCGATTTCCACCTCCACCTGCAGAAGCAATCAGGCACTGGGTCTCTCAGGTCCTGCTGCCACTGTGCTTTCCCTTGACCTGCAGTGTGGTTCAGTGGCTTTCAGGGCCCAGTCAAGGCCCAGCCTGTCCTGAGAGGCACCTTGGGCCTTCTTCCGCATGCTCTAGATGCTCTTGCTTGGTTCCAGGACACATATGGTCCTTCTGGACGCTCCTAGTAGGGCTGAGAAGGCCAAGGGGGGCAGTGAGTCCATTTTGGCAACACACTTGGCCTCAGTTGCTTCCCCTTCAGTTGGAGTTACTTGGTTGAAAAAACCAAAAAGGGCATAACAGTTGCGGGAACTGCATAAATCAAGGCCTACAAAGGAGACATTTCAGGTCATCTCGGGTAGGCTTGAGATGCCACAGGCAGAGAACAGCCTGGACCACTGGGGAGGCTCCCGGGCCTCTCCCATCAAGCTCTGCATCACAGCTATTTCTCTTTGCCTCTCCTACACATGAGCAAAGTGGTGGTGGGAGGGCTGGCAGTCAGGGTCCCTTGTTTCCTACGCCGCACACAGGGATTCACTGCCCTTGATGGTTGCCTTGTTTTACCTAGCTGACCTCCTAACTGTGACTGCTGAGACCACACAGTAGCAGCTGGAATGCCTACAGAGCTTGAAAGGTACAGTAAATGTAGAGCACATACAAGCCAACAGGGAGTGGTACAGAGTACAGTGAACTGGACCAGGAAAGGACCCCTCCAGCAGGAGCAGCTACGACACAACTCCTGTGGACTTCTTGGCTGCTGCTAAAAAGTAGTGGCTCAGTGACCAATTGGCTCTCCTGATTTTCCAAAAGCAGCTGGAAACCCAGACTGTCATTTGAAATACTGGTTCCTATTTGATTGTAAAAACAAAACAAAAGCCACTGCTGCAAAATAAACATGTCAGAGAGCCAGATAGATGTGGCCTATGGTCCAGCAGAGTGAGGCTGCTTTGGAGCCTCCCAGACCGTGGTTTGAATCTCCAATTCACACTGAGCCCATCTCTTGCTCTCTAAACTCTTTCTCTATGTGTACTTCAGGGCCCAGGGCACCTCCAGAGGTGCCGCGAGGGTGAACAGGCGAGTCTGCACCCAGCAGGGCTGAAGCACAGGATGTGGGCGCCAGCTCTAACAACACAGGGGCAACCACTTTCCCTTTCCTGGCCTCAGTTTCCCTGTCCTGGATCCATCTGACCTGGGCAGAGGTAGGTGGTGTAGATGGAGTCACCTTTTAGGGAGGGGGTAGAACTGTGTCCCTCAAGGACAGAAGGGGCCTAGAGGCGGAAGCATTGCAGGTAGCCTTTCTGCAGCCTACACCCCATGTACCCCACAGTCATTGCTTCACTGTGAATGAGCAACAGGTCTCCACCCCCTATCCCCCAGCAAGGCCTCCCCAGAAGGGGAACTCCTCCTTTACCCCCACAGGTCCCTAGCTACCCAGAGCCCAACCCTCCATGTGCCTGCCTTCCCCCACCAGTTACTTCCTCCTCCCCCTCCTCCCAGCCACATCAAGGCAGCAGCAAAGAATCACATGCAAATATCCTGTCCTGGAACTGTGGCAGAATCTGCAGGACTCCCTCCACCCTACCCTTGTTCCCTTTCTCTGTGCTCTGGGAGTGGGAAAGGCATGAGACTCAAATAAGGGCTCCCAGCCCCAGTGTGGTCCCATTTCACCCTCACAGCAACCAGACTGGGCCCAGTCTCATGACAAAACTAAGAAAGGGTTGGAGTGAAGGAACAGTATGCCTATGATCACAGAGCCTGGAGGTAACAGCAATAGAATTCAAACCCAGCTCCCACAACTCAAGTTTCTTTCCCACCTCTCATGCCTGGCATTTACTAAGTATCAACAGTATACACTCACTAAGGGTTTCCAAACTACTTAAGACCTTAGCCTATTTGGGAATTTGACAAAGATCCTGGCCCAAAGCTGTCAGCCAGCTCATGAAATGATTCCAACACAGCCAGTCTATTGATCCAAGTTCAGGAATCAGCGATAACAAGGATTTCCTTAGATCTTTACATTGGATTTCCTTAGATCTTTACATTTCACTCCCTAACCACTCCTCAAACAGGGATACTGAAGGCCAGCAAGTGAGACAGACAGGGCACAGGCCCTGGGCTGGCCATCTCATCTATACCTTGCCCAGGGCCTGACAAAGCTTATCCAAAGATGCTCACACCATCTAGCTAGGCAAGGCAGTGCCCTCAGCAAGACCGAGGGCTGAAGTAGCTAAAGCCTTAGGAAGGGAAGCCTGGCCAGACTCTCCACCCCTCCTCCCTGGCTGGCTGGATGACGAGGCAGAACAGAATCATCAGATGCCCCCAGAGGCTGAGAGGAAGGCCCAGCCCCAGGACTTGATAAGGGACAGGAGATAAGACAGGCTCCCCGGGCACTAAGGACTCAGCCTGCCAAACTCATTTCCAGGCAGCACCTCCCCAGGGTGACACAAACTGGGGGGCAGGGGACACCAAGTGCTGTGCCCTGCTAGGGACTCCTTTTCTGCTTCTAATGGACTGTATTAGACATTCCAGGTCATACACCTGGGTCAGTTAGTCTTGCTGTATGATCTGGGGTTTCTTTCTGATCTGAGCTTTAGTTTTCCACCTGTAAAATGAGGCAGAAGGGTGAAGCAGCAAAAAGAAAAAAAATGTGATCTCTCCAAATTCTAGAGATCTGAGAAAAAGTCTTATTCACTGATGGTTCCTCACTGTCCTGGATAGGGTGGGGCACGGTGTAGCTGCATACTGATTATGTTATTGACTTAGCTATGGCAGGTGAGAGGTGGACTAACCACAGGGCAGGGAGAATCAGTTTTAGTTCTGGGTCTCCCCAGCACAGGTGCCAGATAAATGTGCAATGAGAGCTATGAAGAGCTACACATTCATTCTCTCTCTCTCTCTCTCTCTCTCTCTCTCACACACACACACACACACACACACACACACACACACACACGGCCCACCAGACTGGCTCCCTTGGCCAGGCCGTTGCACTTACAGAGGTCCTAACAATCCATAACGCAGGGCTCCCAATAATTTTCTCTGTGCGATTACCCCAGCAGATCATAGACTTCCTGAGAGTTAAATCGTGACCCATTAACCCTGTCTTTTAGTGTCCTCAGGTTCCTAGCAAGTGGCATTCTGCTGGTAGCATATGGTGCGACCATGAGTTTTTCCAACTCCAGCGCTCTACGCATGGGCTTCAGTCATTCATTCTCTGACCTTCACCAAACACCAACTCTGTCATTAGGGGTCTGGGCCTGGGCACGTGGGGCATCATTGCCTTTCACTTGGAGGTCTGGGAGAGGCTCTCCTGGGGATCAAGAACTACCCTTCCCTCCTCCTCCCTTTTTCCCTTCACACACACCCCTTCCCCACCCGCCAAGAGGGCGGCGGCCTGACCCTCGCCCCTTCCTGGGGCCCAGCTCCCGGGGGGCAGGTGCGGAGGAGGACCATGAGCCGGAAGGGCTCGTGTCTGCTTGGGGTTCAGGTGACGGAACCTGCGGCCCTAGGGGATCTGACGGCTGGGGCTCTAGGTTGAGCTCAAAGGCCCTGGCCCGCACTCCCAGTACCCGGGCCCGGCCACCCGCCGGGTAGCCTCACCTTCCCGGGCCTTGAGTAGCACTGTGTTCGCTACGATGTTCTCGAGCTCCATGGGCTGCAGCGGCTCCGGCTTACCGGACCGCGCCGCCTGGGAGAGCGCGAGAGCCGGGGCCGGATGGCGATCGGCACTGCACGGCACGGCGCGGCGCGGCGCGGCACGGCGCGGC